TCTCTCTCTCTCTCTCTCTCTCTCTCTCTCTCTCTCTCTCTCTCTCTGCGTGTGTTGTTTATCACATGCCATTTTTCGATTATCTTTTGTTTGTATACAAACATGTGTTTTGGTTTCTGTTTTATTTTGTCTGCCAGCCAGAATGAATGTACTATTGAATAATACTATACACAAAAAAACAGCTTTTGTACAATCGAAACTTAAAACCAGAATTGATTGTGTGTGTGTGTTGACTTGGTCGTTGGTGAAGTTCGATCAACGTCCCTAATGCGCGACTATAGAAGTATTGGCGAAAAATAAAAGTGAATTCAAAGCGACAAAAAGCAAACCCTACATCTTGCTCATTGAAATGTTTTTTTTTTTCGTCAAGTATCTTCACTTATCGCAAACTCATGCGGCAATAGGTAATAAAGTGTTGCAAGTTGCGTACTTCATATTTGAATTTCAGAGCAGAAAAAACAACGACAAATGATCTGTCGTATATTGATGACGACGTTATTCTCTTCTATTTCTTGCTCATTTTCTCTTCTTGCATCTCAGTCTTGCTATAACATTTAAGCAACCTAGTAATTTCTAGTTTTTCAATGTCACACACAGCGAGCACACAAACAAGCATATAAGCACAAAGAGAAAACAAAATATAAACGCATAAATGTGAAGAAAAATAAATCTCGTGTGACTTGTGCACGCGTTATTTTTTTCTTCTTACAAATAAAAAGCGTAATCACCCGATTCTCTGTATTGCAAATTAAACGAAAATCTCTTACATGCAATCTGTATATCGTGCAATTCAGAAGCGTGTCAGAAATTGAACAAAATTAAATGAAACAAAAAAAAAACGCGAAAGAGAGTATGAACGAAAGAGTGAGTCGATTTGATTCAACGAGAGAGATAGAGAGAGAGAAAAACTCTTTGTTTGCTGCCGACCTATTTGCATTGGTATTTATTGCTGTCACACAGATGTGACTGTTATTGTTTTTCATATACAAACATACGCGACTTTGTGCATCCAGTTAGTTTTTGGCTTGTCCACACATACATTGGTCATTGTCGTTGCCGTTATTACTTGTGAGGTGCCATTTATCGAGAATCATTTTCATTGTTTTGTTCCGATAATTTGAATTTTGAAAATGAGCAAGGAAAAATGTAATTTATTATGATAACTTCCAGCTTCATTTTTTAACAGATAAAGAGAGAGCAAAAAGTGTGCAATTCCAAAATAGAACCAAAAATGAAAACAATAATAATCAACGGCAAGCGATCATTGTCTTTCACTCGGTTCTGTATTCATTGCAAATTGCCTTGTGTCGACTTCAGCCGTTTTTATTTTCTTTCATCTGTTTCGTACTTTTCTGTGTGCACTTTTTTCGCCTTTGTTTTTGTTTTCATTTCTATATGATTATTTATTTTCGTTTTGTCTGTTCCATTCCGTTCAATTCTTTTTTTATATACATCTTAATTGAAGTATAATATTTGTATGCAGATGTATTTGTGGTTACCTTGCCGCGATCTTATGCGGTCGTCACTGCCATACATACATTAAAATATTCAATAGCAATAAAAAAAAAAGCGCAGAGAAAAAACGCGTGTATTGTGAAAGAATGTGATATAAAAGAAAGAAGAATGCGAAAACACGAAATGAGCAACGATTGTATTGGTGTTATCATGACATAGACACAGTCATCATTTGGTCGTTCGCGCACGCACACAAATATAAGTGCATATTCAAGTACAAGCACACACCGTTACCGTGTACTGTTGCCGTTGGATTGTTTCTTGGCACGGTATGAGTTGAGTAATTTCTCCTGAGTCCATGCACACAATACACATAATAAAAGTCTATTAATTTTTCTACATGGAGAGAATGGTCGGCGTACACGATCGCATTCGATTCGTCGTGTGGTGGCCCATGCCGATAACAATGTTTGTGTGCACGCAACACTTCAATAGATATGTAAACGGTGTCGTTGTTTCAGTGATTATGTGAACATCGAATGGTATTGTTTATTATCAAACGGTCTGATGCGACCGCGATTTCTTCACGCTTTTTTCCATCATTTCATTTCAACTTTGCTGAATTCCAATCGTCTACATACACAAGTGATTGGAAAAAAAGAAGATAAAATCTCGTTTTACCTTCACATTGTCGTTGACTTTTTTTCACACCAAAACTAAATGATCCGATCCCAAGTGGCAGTGACCCAGTACATTGATGCTACGTTGTTTTGGTGACACAGTGTTTTTTTTTTACTTCTCATTGGTCTCACATAAATGTCGAGTGTGTGTTAATCGAATCAAGAAAACAACGATCCGACAATTATCACGTCGAGCTTTTAGCATACGTGCGCCAGTTTAATTTTGGTGGCGACAGATTTAAAGCTATTTTTGATGACAGACAAGAAGAAAAAAACGAGCTAAAACAAGTGCTCATTTATAATAATAGGCGAGAACTTTGCCATTTTGTGTTCGCCGACAAAAACGTTCATTAAATTCATAATTTAATGCATTTTCGATAGAATTCGTAACACGTATCGGGGATTTTCCTCGAAATTTCATATACGTATATTCAGAATTTTAGCAAAATCGTTTCCAATTCGACGAAATTAGTTTGAGTGTGTGCTGTAAAGTTTGATGTATCTTGGAATGTATATTGACATGTAAAAACCGACAATTTATAGAAAGTGCATAATCAGACCTATTTACGTGCTTCATAATATTTAATATGAACATTTTCATTTCGAAGAGGCAAAACAATCAATGAATGAAGTGTACAGTGGAGTTTTCGTTGCATGTGAAAAATGTGTTGGCTTACTTTTTTTATGTGATCAATGACACGTACCAAAGTGATGTGTTCACGTTGGATGAACAACAACGAATGAAATGGATGGATTCTTTCAATAATTTACCGATTCAAATGAAGTTTTTTAGCGGTACTTCCGTTGTTTGAATTCCAGTTGCAACATTAACGAGATGAGACGATTTTTATTCTGTGTTGTTGCAAAACATGCTAAACATCATCAGATAAAGAGGAAAAGAAATCAACAAAAACACATTGCAATTACATCCGAAAAGAGAACGGGAACGTTAAACGCATCGAAAAGCAAAAACTTTATATTTTACACACATCGTCTTGAACATTGACGAGCGAGAAATAAAGAAAGAAATGATCCAGTTTTGTATGTTTCATATAAAATGTGTAAAAGAAACTATTAGCTCAACGAATCGATCGAACAATAAATTATTACGATTCTACCCACACACATCGATACTAACTCACACACTTGAAAATCAATATATATATTTATATTTAAGTCGAACAAACTCGGTGAATATTTTGGTTCTTCTTCTTCAATTTCGTTGCGAGTTTTCAAGTTTTGTTATGATGAAAATTGAATGAGTCGACTGATGAAGAAGAAAGTCATTAAAAGCACTTCGTGTTAAATTACATTATATATCAGCAGTCAGTGAACCGTTTTGTTTGTATCGTTCATCATTATTATTGATTACAAATAATAAATAGAGCCAAACCGATAGTGCCGGTTTACACATACGAATTCAATTGAGACATTTTCTACTCAACAAATGAAATCGTTAAGATGCCGATTGCATTCGAATACACATCGCTGGATAATCTGGCTATTGATGTGAGTATAGTGGATCTTGTTTTAATTTTACCAAATATAAAAAATAAACACGAAATTCGATGAATTATAAATTCGTATAGTGGATCTTCTTTGAATGCCATAAATTGCAATGCATAAGGTTTTCTTTTAATGCCATACATTTCTTGGAAGTGAATAAAGCGTTGCAATATGAAATTCTCTGTATCTAAATCTGAATATATTCGGTGTTGGACGATTGTATTTGTGCTTTTACCAACTTACTCGAGGTCGAAATTATGTTAAAGGCTTCTTACCTCATTTAAACTTATATGTGTCGAATGAGTTTTATGTTTTCTCTTTATATTCTCACCAAAGTAAAACATGTATGTGTGTTCCTTGAGAAAATGGTTGCGTCATTGGTCGTTTGATTGAAATTGGTTCGGTGATACCAGATTTCGAAAATGGGATTAAAATCGTCTTCCGTTTGAAGAATACT